ACTGAAAGGAAGAGAAAACAGGGAGCCAAGAGTGAGAAAGTGGTGAATTGGGAAGAAGTCCAGGGTTTGCTCCAAGTGGTGAATTGGGAAGATTCTCCCCATGAGAAGTTCAGCACAAGCTCAAAGGAGATTGGAATCATCACCATGATTGTTTCTACCTCTTCCTCTTGTGTTTCTCCCCTTTCTAGCATGGAGTAGTTTCCTTTCTCACTTGAGTGTTGTGAAACCCTAACTATTTGCCATGTAGTTGTCATGTGAATTGAATGATTGTTTATGGGTTTTTTTTAATTCAATGATTGAGGTATTTCTCATGTTGATTGTGCATGTTTATGCTTAGCAATCTAATTAGCCATCTAACCTAGATTAGAGGGGAAACCCCCTTTCAAGGGAGGCTCAATTGAGTTGGGATTCCTAGGGCTTCTTAAGCCACCTATCTAGGATAATGTAGGGTAAACCTCTATGTGAATTAAGCAATTTGGTTAAGCGCGATTAAGCCGACCAACCATTGGGTTGAGTGAGGGAGTAAGTCAACCATCGATTGCCTTAACCGAGAGGACCACTTGAACAACCTATAATGTATCCTTCGGTTTGGAAATCGAGAGTGTGTTCTACGACCATATTTGTGTCCCCTAGCGGTTCACAATCACTTTGATTCACATACCATGGTAGTAGTTAAGGGGAAGCGATACCCGAATGATCCTTCTCACAAATAGCTTTCAAAACCATTTACTTTGGCCTTGCTTTACTTTAATTAGCAAAATTTTCAACCAAAACCGATTCGGTAGATAATGATTCAAATGATTGAAGTAGGGGTACACGGACCGACTCGAGTCGATATTTAAACATACTTGCTATGTATTGCACCCGACTAAAGTTTATACTTGGACCTTAGGTGGGAATTAATTGTGATATTCGGGACGAGTCAAATAACCCTCTTTGTTCAAGTTCCGTTGCAAGCAACTTACGATATATACCAATTTTTAACTCTTTCTCCAATTCATGGGTGTGCAGGGGTACCCCTCCCTACACACTTCCTCCGCCCCTATTGGTGCCTCTAGCTACGGGAACCTGGATAAAATGAGCGGGAGGAGAGGAACTTGCCCAGCAACATGCTTCTCCTGATTTACGACTCCCACGTCGACTGCATTGAGATCAGAGGCGGCAACGACATCGTCGACCTCTTTTTAGGAGTCCATGACCTATCCGATCGAAGATCGGAGTGAGCGATTCTGGTAGCGGTCATGGAAAATCAAGCGATTCGCTGTTGAAACCATCATCGATCTCCCTGTAAGTGTGTGAGCGAATGATGCCGATGTAGAATCCTCGATTGGGGAATAGAGTAACCTGCAGAGACATAATGGATGCAGTTGAATCTGATGCTCGTAGCTCAACAGAGAGCAGCGAATCGAAGGCCTCCCACAGCCAACATGCGCACATCATCACAGCTCATCATAAGTTGTCGAGCTTCTTGTTCGTGGCAAGGGAAACCGAGCGGTGGAGGAAGAGGAAGATGGCGGCCGAGCTGTGAAGAAGACTCTCTCCGCCGGCGACCTGGAGCGCGCTGTCGATGAACCCTGGCCTGGCGATGGCGATCGAGTGGCTGCGGGAGCGAAATACAAATGCAGGCTGCCTGAAATGGAAGGACGAGCTCGAGAATGCTTAGGGTTTTCCAGACCCCTATTATTCTTTGCCTTCTCGCCATCTCCCAGCATAAATGGCGCCGCACAGGTTGTTCTGCTTCTTCCTCTCGCATCTCGCTTTTTCCCTTCAGAATTGCGCCGAAGCAGCCAAAAACCCTCAGGGAGAGTGACCTGCTGACCCGCTTTAATGGCTGACTGCCCGGGTTTGACCGGTTGACTCGCTATGACACAACACCAAACTACGACCAAGTATAATCGCAGTCTGGAAATGCAGAATAGTGGGTATGTAACACCCTAGTCCGGCCGGACACTACTTTTACCAAAATACCCTTGATAAACCGTGAAACAAAATAAGAACTGGAAATACTTAGAAAAAAATAGCGGAAATATTTCATAAATAACTTGAATAAATACTGAAAACAATTGTCGTTACTTAAGCTCGAAGCCCTAACACTTGGGCAAACTCAAACCTTAAAATCTTAATATGAATCTCCATTCTATACTCATAATCATAAAATGAAATAACTAAAAAGTCTCTAATGTTGCCGCTTATTGAAAACCTTGACTAGGCAGCCTCCATGACGTTCGAACTATCCTCTTCTAGCTGGCTTGCCTCGGATCGTTCTCTCGATCTCGCTGCTCTCTAACTGCTCCTCTAACTAGTTGCTATCGAGCTGGTTCCCGCTCACTCTTTTACTAAGGCCTGGTGAGTGAGATGGGGTCAGTCTACGCCTTACGTTTAAAATCTCTAGTACTTGGATACTTTACTTAAGACACTTAAACTTAAACTGGTGGAAGTTGCTTGTACTTCCACTTTTAAAAATCTTAACTCTTAAAGTTGTATGGGAGCTACTGCTACTCTCCATTCTTAAAGCTCAAATCTCCACTTAAATACTTGATTGACACGGGGATCCCTCACTAGTTAGTCCGATTGCCCAACTCATACGTATGAGAAGCCATCAAGGCTTTCCTTAAACTTAAACTTAGTTAGGGGAGTCGTAACGATTCATCATCGCGGTTGACGGCCGCGGTGAATGTCTGACCTAACACTGAAACTTTAAACGAACGTAACTTTATGCTCGGTTATCTGATTGTAGCGAAATTTGTTTTGATCTCACATAACTTTTTAAGATCTTTCAATCTGCAACAAGCTTAATCCCAAAATATGTCGTTTGGTACCCCGAACGAACAATTTTTCGATTTCGACAAACTTTGGAAGATCATAACTTTGTGCTCCGCAATCCGAATGTCATGAAACGTTTTTTGATTTCGAATAACTTTTGAAGGACTACAACTTTTATTGTAACCATAATTTTGGAATGTATGTTGATTTTTGAAAAGTGAAGGCGTATACCGAAAAACATTTCTTTTTTCTTTTTAAATTCTTTCCTAGTAAAAGTTGTATTTCTTAAAAAGTTGTGCGCAATAAAAAAAACTCTATAATTTTTGAATTGAATAGCAAAAAGTTATGGTCATCCAAAGTTTGGAGAAATCGAAAAATTGCTCGTTCGGGGTAGCAAATGACATTGTTTTGGTATGAAGGCTTGTTGCATATTGAAAGATCTTGAAAAGTTATGCTGGATAAAAAAAATCTCGCTACAAATGGATTACCGAGTGCAAAGTTACGTTCGTTTGAAGTTTCAGTGTTAGGTCAGGCATTCACCGATTTCGTCTGCCACAGTGATGTCCAAACATGTGTAATTTGAGAGTTTTTCATAAAACATGAATATTTTGATAATTTAAAAAAAAAAACATATGTATTTTGAGATTTTTTTCGGAGAATAGCATATCATAGGCATCCCAGGTTAAATTGGTTATATGCTGTTCTGACGTAGTTCTCATTTTATGGGAACAATTCACAATCATTTGATAGCATCCACGGTTTCTGGTCCCTGCTATTGCTAGATTGCTAACATGGTTTTCAAATGTTTTCTGGTTTCATTCAATTATTTCGGCATTGACGTCACCAAGTGAAACATTGGACCGGATAGCTTACCTGCGCAAATATGTTGACTCTATCTACAGATGTGCTCGCTGAAATGCCTGTACAACTTTCCGAGGCAGAAGAAAAGGAGCAAGCCTCAATTGGTCGTCGGCATGTGCTCCATGGCAGAAACCAAGAACCTTCTGCAATATACGTTCATGCTTCTGCAGAAGCAAGGTTGCCTGCCTCTATTCCTATAAGAAATTTTCCTCACCCGCCTTTTGCTTTTATTACTGGTATGGAGCAGGGTTTCATGTTTGTTTTTTTGGCCAAATTTGCTCACCGTTATAATGAACCCATTGTGCAACTAGTTCCTCTAAGTTGAGGGTTATCTCACCATTTCCAGTTGTGATTCAAGGGTATTTGAATAGAACTGGTTTATGGTAATATTTGCATGGAACAAGTATGTTCTTTCCTTGGGACTGTGAGTTTCTCTTCTGCTGGTAATGTAGTTATAATCAGTGGCGGAGCCACTTGGAGAGGAGGCTTGCACCCCCTTGGGTTTGGAGAAAAAATTTCCGAGTAGGAGTATATACAAATTCGAACCAATGACCATTCAGTTGCAGGAAGAATTTTTTATCATTTCGATCGAGTGAGTTTTGTTATGCAATACACTTTCGTCTTTATTTATAGTAATAAATTGTTGTCTTTTGTTTAAACTCGCTCATTTTTTTTTTTTTTTTTTGTAGCTCTACAATAGAGAAATTTCTTGTCTTTTGTTTAAACAAAGTTGAAAGTGAAGAAGTACCAATTGAAGTTCACTTGTTTGTTTCACAAAATCAATTCCAAGGTACTTCTGAGTTCTAATTTGTAATATTTGATGAATGAAAGTCTTCATTTGTATGTACTGAACTTATTTGTTTGACGTTGTAACCGGTGTACGTGAAACTATTTTAATGTAATTATATGAATTTAGAGTATTGCATTGTTGACTTTTTGTTTAATTTAAAGTTGACTTTTCTATTTTATAGGTGTTTTTTATGATATGATAAAGACACCCCTTGTCAATTTTTTGGCTCCGCCACTAGTTATAATACTCCTTCTATCAATAGGTGCCGGTTGTGGGAAAGAGAGATGGAGATAAAGGACATTAAAGATCAATTAGTTGAGCTAGTGAAGCTGTTAACTCAAAGTGAGGCCCAGAAAATGGTACTCTTGAAGGAGCAAATGATGAGAGAACAGGTTGTTGCCATTGCTCTTTCAGCGTCATCATCAACTGTGGTAACTTTACATTGAGTTCTGAGCTTGATTACGCAAATACGATATAGCACTTGCCAATCAGAATTCATCACGCTTGTTATTTTCTAATTAGCCGGGAAGAGAAGAATGACAAAAGAAAGTTAAAGGACCAACTTAACCATCGTTGTATCATATTCCATGAGGATACCACCACTACAAGCAAATTATCCCTTCAGTTTAGACTTATTGTATCATATTCCATGATCATACAATTATTTCTATCTCCAGTTTAGACTTTAGACACATCAACTGGTAGTTCGATACACGACACGAGAGATCGTGTGTTTGATCCCCAGCGGGGGTCTTGAGTGGTGAAGGCCTTTGCCCTGCTTGCAGGATGGCCATGGATGCATGAACTACCTCTATTCACCCCCTCCCCGAGCAACTGCAAACTGACGACTGTGTAGGTTCAGCCGGGGAGTTTGGCCTGCCTACAGACTGTGTCACCAAAATGTCAACTACAGATGAAGGTTCTCTGTTACCAGAAAAAAAGAGAGGAATTAGCAGCAAGCAAATTTCTTCTATAAGGAGGAAAAAGCAAGCCTAAATCAATTAGCACAGTGAGTCCAAAATCCAGAGGAATGATACAACAAAGCCTTTACAGCAAAAATCGAGCTCCCTCCCAACCAGAAGCAGGGGAAGGCAAAGAAAGACAACACGCCATGTAATAACGTTCCATTTCTCCCAACAACCATATTCTTTCCATCCATCAGCAATGGATCCCAATTCAACTATGTCTCTTGCTCTCATTCCACCATCCCTGCCTGCACTGCCATTCTCCTGCCCTTTTCTTTTCTTCCTTTCCTCTATACATACCCAATACTCACACTCTCCTCCACCACAACGCTGTCTTTAATCTCCTGGATCATCTTCAGCACCTGCCACATTGCCGGCCTCTGCTCTGGAGAGGTCAAGCTGCACAGGCTCGCAACCTCGGTCAGCATCCCCAGCTGGTTATCTTCCCGGCCATCGCACTCATCCCTCATCGCCCGGACCCAGTCCAGCAAATCCGCAGGCATAAGGTACGGATGCTGAGACGGTAATTTCCCGGTCAGGAGCTCCAATAACAACACCCCGAATGCATAAACATCGGACTTGGCCGTGACCCGCCTGCTTGAGGACGACTTGCGGGTCTCCGGAGCTCTACACGCTGCCGAGTTAGGGTCATCGGCGGAAGAAGTGGTGTCCGCGAGGGCTGCGAGGCAGTAGTCCGTAATGCAGGCCTCGAAGTCGTGTCCGAGGAGGACGTTGGAGGATTTCAAGTTGCCATGGACTAGCTGCGTGGTTTGGTGGATGTAGGCTAGACCTTGAGCCACATCTTCTGCTATTTTTAAGCAGGATGTCCAGTGAAGCGGCTTTGCTCTCGTTGATCTGGAACCTGCAGTTTTATTAGACAGTAGAGAAAGACTACTCATAAATTCACTGTCTGAAGTCTGAACTATGAAACCACCCACAATAAAGCCACAATACTGGATCTTTTTTTTCCCCAGTCCAAAACTGTTAAGTTGACAAGACTGATTGACTGACTATATATGGTATAGCCACAGTGCTGCAGTTTACAGAGGCCCCAGAGAGTTCAGACAGATGAAAGCTACACTTCGAGATGAATAGTGTCACCATAACTACAATATCTTGATGAATGCCTTTGATGATTAAAGTGGTAATCACTAATAGTATTGGCCCACTCATTACCACCATGAATTATATCTCACTCAAGAACACTACTCAGACTAAGCAATAATCAATGGAAAAGCACAGACAGAAAAATGAACGAGGGGAAATTGAACTTTTACCATGAATGAGATTGAAGAGACTGCCATTGGGCTGGTAAGAGTAAATCACCAGCCTTTCACCCTTTGCCTGGAAGTAAGCCATGATTCGAACCAGATTCGGATGCCGCAGCCCACCCACGATCTCCATATGCTTCTCAAACGCCTCGCTGCCGGTGATGGCCGTCTTGTTAGCATCCAGACGCTTCACCGTCAGAATCAGCTGGTTGTCCAGCACCGCCTTGTACGTTGTCCCCACGCTTCCCCTTCCCAGCAGCTCCGCCGATGCTTTCATCAGCTGCTCCAGATTATACCCTTGCTGCTGGGAATGTTGATTCTCTCTTCCCCCGCAGAACACCAGATTCCCGCTCCGATGGTTCCCTCCAAACCCTACTCTCGATTCCGAACTCACAATCGCCGCGGCCGCCGCCGTGGCGGTTCCGCTCTTCTCCGAGGACTTCCCTCCAGTAGTTGCCTGCTGCCCGGAGCCGGAGAAATTCGTCGGAGGAGGTGGAGGCTTGGCTTCCGCGGCTGCGTGCTCGCTCTGGTTCCCGCGCCTCCTCTTGGCTTGGACCAGAAAGACGCACATGACAGCAATTGCGAGCAGGGAGGCGCCGGCGGCCAACGCTAAAACGGCGGTTACCTTCCGACGTTTCCGCGCCGGAGGCGCCAAGACCGCGGTTCCGGACTGCGCTTCCGCGCTCTGGTTGAGCGGGGCAGAAGAAGAAGCCACCGCCGGAGAGGTGGCGTTCCCCTGCGACGACGGCTCGAAGAAGGGAGGGCGGTTGGAAGGGCAAGCCTTATTGATAACCTCGCCGCAGAGATCCGGCGCGTTGAGCAGAAACGCCGTCGTATCGAAGCGGGAGAGCGTCGGGGTGAAGGGTATCTGGCCGGTGAGATTGTTCCCGGAGATGTTGAAGCTCACGAGGAACGACTGGTTGAGGGGCGGGACGGTTCCGGTGAAGCGATTCCACTCCAGGCGGAGGGAGTTGAGCCGGTCCAACCCGGACAATCCGACCGGGACCGTACCGGTCAGGCTGTTGCGGGAGAGATCGAGGACAGTGAGGCGGTGGAGGAGGAGAATGGAAGGAGGGAAATTCCCCGAGAAGGAATTCCCGCTGAGGAAGAGAGACTTCAAATTGACGAGCGGGGAGAGGTCAGGGATTGGGCCGGAGAGCGAGTTGTCGTGGAGGCTGAGGACTCGGAGCTGGTCGAGTCGACTCAGCGTGGCGGAAGGGAAGGTGCCGCGGAGGCCGAACCCTTGGAGGACGAAACGGACGACTCTGCCCTGAGCGCATTTCACTCCCTGCCATTGGCAGTAGTCGAAGCGCTCGTTGATGGTGTAGAGGAGCTTGTTGTCCAAGTCGGCTTTGGACTTGAAGGAGAGGAGGGAGACGGCGTCGGGTTCCGGTGCGGCGGTGGCCGGAGAGAAGAGGAGGAGGAGGAAGAGGAAGGAGGAGATGATGAGGCGGCCGGAGCGGCTTGGGGTTGGGTTGGTTAAGGGCATGGTGGAAATGGCGGTGGTTTCATAACTTTTTTCAGAGGAGAGAGCGGCGACGGCGGAGGAGAAGCAGCGGCGGGGGTTTAGGGGATAGAGGGAGTGAGAGAGTGAGTGAGGGAGAGAGTTTGTTGCGTTGAGGAGTGGGAAGCAGCTGTATCGATTATTTTCTTTCTAAGTGGGAATCAGAAAGTCACGTGTCAATGGGGTAACTGAGAAGAAATTGTTGTCTGTAGTGTTGGCTTGGCTAGTTTTTATTTATTTGTTTATTTATTCCCACTGTAGTGTTTTGGACCGTGAGAGTTTTTGCATCCTAATTCGCCAATCGCGAGAGCCTTCACCTCGTTTTATTCTATGTTTGCTACATTTTACTTTGGAAATTATAGGTACAAACGCCGATAGTGCAAAATCACATTTCTAACCTTTTATTTTAATTAAATTTAACGGTGGAAAATTCAATAAGAGGTCATTTGGAAGTTGCGATTATCTTGATGAGATTGTTAATATACATGTATTGTTTAGAAGTTTTTATTTTTTTAGAAAAAACAATACATGATTGTTTGTGATGTGAAAGAAATATTACTCAAAATGTGTGATTGTTATATCCCAGTTTTTAGTTGTGATTGTTGAGATTAGGGATGGCAATCAAACCCATGCCCATCGGTAGTGGCGGATCCAGAAATTCTACACAGGGGTGCCCTCTCTCAAAAATTAAATTTAATTAAATATGAGAATTAAATTAAAAATATCAAAATATCTAACTAATAAAAGTTACATAAAAGTTCATACGTGTTTCGTATATGGTAAAATACATCCGGTGTTTATATTGCTCAACAAATATCTCTCGACATATCCTATTAGACAAGGGTATCCGGTAATTGGGTTCAATCATTAAGATTTGAAAATAATTCAGGATAAGAATAACATTTTACTATTATATTTGGATCTAAAATACAATAACAAATGAGTTATAGTGTAATTGAAAATAGGTTTACTAATAATGGCAGTGTCCCAAGTTTAAATAACATAGACTACTACCTAAATATTATTTGTACCAATACATAAACTACTGCGAGAGGTTGGATAATCATTTCCCCAAAATTTAAGGGAATCCCATTACCACTTAAACTTTTTTTTTTGCTTATTGTAAACTATTATCGGAGGTTGAATAATCGCGTTTCCAAATTTTAGGGGTGTCCCGGACATGCATGTATCCGCCACTGCCCACCGGTACCCGACCACCCCCGACCCAGTCGACGCAGGGAATCCCCGCTTTGACTGGGTATGGGGCGGGTATGGGTAAAACCCGCAAAATGTTTGATGGGTATCGGGCGGGTATGGTTTTAGCCTCCCCGCTCCGTACCCATACTCATACCAACCCCATCAAGAGTATTTCTTCACATATAAAAATACTTGGATCAAATTGTGATCTATCAATGATAGTGAGGGTATCTAAAGAAAATAAATAGTAGAAATGCAATTGAGTGGCCACCCAAATCAAAACCTTATTCCTTTTCCTCAGATCTCTCTTCACTCTTTGGCTTTACCCCTCGTGTTAACAAGATTATGTTAGTTAGTTTTTACTTAGTAGATGTATCAAAGTCAGAGAATAATGATTTGGATTACATTGTACTATATCTTATAAATTAATGGATGTTTAAGGATCAGATGCTTTGAGTCATATAATGAATGATTGTCTTTTTGTCAAATTCATGATCTAGTAGTTGCATTTAATGTTATAATTGAAAATTTACATGTACAATTTTAGGTATTATAATGTCGGATGTACGAGGCGAGTATTACCCATGGGTATCCGAAACCCACGGGTATGGGGATGGTTTGCAAAACCTTTACCCGCATGGGTATGTGGCGGGTATGGGTATGGATATTCAAAAGCGGGGATGGGGATGGTTTAGGGAAACCCTCCCCATTGTCATCCCTAGTTGAGATGAGATTGTTTTCTCTCAGCTTTTAGCTTATGTGACATACACAAACACACATATCAAACATTGTATTTTACAATGCATCCAATTCGACAATACATGTATAACATTATACGTGCATTCACAATAATACATCTATTTAACAATCAAACCTTCCAAACGACCCCTAAGAGTTTTTTTTGACAAAATATAATCTTGTATTGATTAAAAAGAGATCGAACAAATTACAGTCTGGTATACAACCAGGAAAGAAAATCAAAAGAGCAACATGTTGACGTATACAAAGTAAGGGTCTTTCTAGCCACCAATTGGGCTACCCAATTGCTATCCCGATCTATAAATCGTACAGTAAGACCATTAAAATTTCCCAGCAAAACACGAACTTCCTTAAGAAAGGCTCCAAAATGATTATCTTGTGCATGAGACAAATTTTCATTATCAATAACCACCTTTGCGCCTCCTTCAAACCGAACCTGCGAGAGACCAAAATCCAGACACTACTGGATGGCCTCGCGCCAAGATAATCGAACTACTCTGATCCTTGATAATTATCCCCCTGACCGAGTGAGCCCTTCCTTGGCACCATCCCACATGAAAGTGGTCAGGACTGAGTGAGATCCCTTCCTTGTGGTAAACCCATCCATTCATGTACTTGGTGATGATACCGTTGAATCAAATATATAACACCAAATTGTTTTCCTAAGACAACCCAATTCCTGGATTTCCAAATTCGGTATAGTGTCGCAACAACAACCATGCTCTGATGGGGTTGATTAGGTAGTAACATCAACTTCTTTAGAAAGAAGAGAAATTTTGGCGAGGGGGCCCTTGCCTAAAGATTCTAGGCCAGCATGATCCCATAATTCCCTTGCTATCGGGAACTCCAGTTTAAGATGTTCCATAGTCTCCACATCATCCCAGCAAACAAGGCATTGAGGTAGAACTTGAACATCCTTTTCGATTAGTGCTTCCATAGTTGGTAAAATGCGATTGAAAATTTGCCAGAGAAAGACCTTAAGTGTCAAAACAGAAGCGTGCAATCGATAATTTAGATTTCTACAAATGAACATAAATTTAATGTGGTTCACTAACACAATGTGTGCTAGCTAATCCACGGGCAGGAGAGAACAAATTTCACTAATTTGAGAAAAGTACAGGTTACAAATCAAATTTCGGAATGGACAAACCAAACAAACTAAGCAGACTGACCTTACAACAAATTAGGATAAAGAAGAGTATTTACGGAACTCTTCCCTTAATCCCAAACAAAAAACCAAACACATTTTTCCAAACCTACAAGGAAAAGGCCAAAACAAAGCATAAGCATAAATACAAACCCAAACAGAATAGGCCCAAAACACAAAACAAAAGAACAAAGCCCAAATCAAATTCAAGTGATATTCTAACAATCTCCACCTTGACTTGAATTCTCTCTGAAATACCAGATGTACCAGACGCAACCAAAGTTGCCAGATGTACCCAAACGCGATACATATCGCCAAACTCAAACGCGATGTAAATCATCAAACTCAGATTCAATCAGAATTGCCAAACGTACCAAACTCCTCCAAATATGTTGATGTACCAGAATCTCCTCTTCCTCCAAATGCCCCTAAAGGCGGTCAACAACTCAAACCATTTGGCAAATCCAACTCATCTTGGGACTTGCCATTCAGAATCAGCTTGGTGCATTTATCACCAACTGTCTTGTCAAAATAGAACCTTGTAGACCATACAAGAAATAAACCTTGAAACCTTTCAGAATCACCTTAAAACCTCTGTAGATAGTCAACATCCCACCTTCACCTTTGAATCTGAAACTCTTGCCGTCGAGTAGACTCAAAGATATCAGTTCTTAGTCATCTCTGGAATATGCCTAACATTGTTCAAGGTGCAAATAGAACCATTATGTGTCCTTACCCTGATGGATCCTTTTCCAACAATCTTTCAACTAGCACCATTTGCCATAGAAACATGTCCTCCATCTATTTGCTCATAAGCAATGTAGTCAAAAGCGAGTTTTTATGTAGAAACGTTTTGGTGATCTAGAAGCATAAAATCGTAAGTTTTAAAGTTTTAAAGTGGAGTTTTTAACTACAAAAGGTATAAGAACTGAGATTTTGTGTAGAAGTGTTTTAGTGACCTAGAAACGTAAAATCATAAGTTTTTAAGCTTCAAAGTGCGATTTTGACTACATTGCTCATAAGCTTAAAAACACTCTTTGCTTGGACACATATGATAATCAGCTATAGTATCTTAATACCATACATCTTGATGATGTACCTGCTCATTCACTGCTAAGGCTAAACCATCTTTAGAATCAGAGTTAGTTTCTTCGGCCACAGCAGAAGATGAATCCTTATTCTTCTGATATTTCTTTAGTTTAGGACAATCAAATTTCCAATGCCCTTTCTCCTTACAGTAATGAAAAATATCATCCTTCAAACCAACAAAATTCGACTTTATATTCGCCTTGCTGTTACCATATTGTTGTCTCCAACTACTCGTAGCAGCCAACCCAGATGCCTAATTTTCAGAATCTGAACCAGATGCCTTATGCCGAACCTCTCTAGTATGTAGAGCAGATCTAACATCTTCTAGAGTCAAACTATCTTTCCCATCAATAAAATAATCCATAAAATTCTGATATGATTGTTGCAAAGATATTAACAGAATTAAAGCAGCATCCTCATCATCTACTTTTACATCAATATTCTGCAGATCTAACAAGTAACAAGATAGTATTGAGTTGATCTAGATGATTCATGAGAGACGTACCTTCCTCCATACGTAGACTCAACAGACGTTGCTTCATATGAAACTTGTTGGTTAAAGACTAGCCAGATCTCGAATCTCGGCGGGTATAGGTCCGAGCCATCAAGTGGGCGGCCCCGTTTGCTTCCCTCTAAATATGTCGCCAACTATGTTGTTCTGCACCCTCCAAGCTTCTCCTGATACTCCTAGTCTCCTACAGATCACCCCGGTCTCCGTCAAATCTCCCATTGGATCATTGAGTTTATTAATCACCATCATGCTATCACATTCCAAGATCAGCTTTGGTGCATGGAGAAGTGGCGCCAGCTGTGCACCCATCTCAACAGCAAGGGCTTCGGCCTGATCCACACAAATCCCCCACTGGTACATTTAGCAGCTTCCATTCGTAGCTTTCCATCACTGTCCCTGGCTACTGCCCCCAACCCAATCTCGCCATCAGGGAATATAGCTGCATTAGTGGTGATCAATATCCACCCAGGTTCCGGCTTGC